TTTTTTTTGAGACAGTCTCGCTTTGTCACCAGGCGCCAGGCTGGACGGCAGTGGCTCGATCTTGGCTCACTGCAACCTCCACCTCCCGGGTTCAAGCAATTCTACTGCCTCAGCCTCCCGAGTAGCTAGGACTACAGACATGCGCCACCACGCCCAGCTAATTTTTATATTTTAGTAGAGACAGGGTTTCACTATGTTGACCAGGATGGTCTCGATCTCTTGACCTTGTGATCCGCCTGCCTCGGGCTCCCAAAGTGCTGGGATTACAGGCGTGAGCCGCCATGCCCAGCAAAGTAGTTTTCTTTAGGAATTGTCAGCATGTTGTTGAAGTGTGGAGTTGTAACTCTGCATGGACTACGGACAGTCACAATATGTACTTAAAAATTTCACTACTGACTCACGCCTGTAATCCCAGCACTTTGGGAGGCCGAGGTGGGTGGATTGCCTGAGGTCACGAGTTCGAGACCAGCCTGATCAACAAGGAGAAACCTCGTCTCTACTAAAAATACAAAATTAGCTAGGCGTGGTGGTGTGCACCTGTAATCCCAGCTACTTGGGAGGCTGAGGCAGGAGAATCGCTTGAACCCAGGAGGCAGAGGTTGCGGTGAGCAGATATCGCGGCATTGCACTCCAGCCTGGGCAGTAAGCGTGAATCTCCATCTCAAAAAAAAAAAAAATTGCACTACTGCAGAACAGGTGCAAACCCACTCCAAGTTGTATATTTGTTTTCCAATTTAAAAATATGATAAAAAAAAGCATTATACTAAATCTACTCTGCCTACCACACATCTGTTTACAGCATGGTTTACTAAATATTTTAAGCCCACTGTGAAGACCTACTGCTCAGAAAAAAAAGATTTCTTTCAAGATATTACTGTTCATTGACAACACACCTGCTCACCCATGGGCTTTGATGGAGATGCACAAACAAGTTAATGTTTTTTGTTTGGTTGGTTGGGTTTTTTTGAGATGGAGTCTCAGTCTGTCACCAGTCTGGCAGGCTGGAATGCTGTGGTCCAATCTCGGCTCACTACAACCTCCGCCTCCCAGGTTCAAGCAATCCTCCTGCCTCAGTCTCCTAAGTAGCTGGGATTACAAGTGCACAACGCCTGGCTAATTTTTGTATTTTTAGAAGACAGGGTTTCACCATATTGGTCAGGGTGGTCTCGAACTCCTGACCTCATGGTCCATCCGCCTTGGCCTCCCAAAGTGCTAGGATTACAGGCATGAGCCACCACGCCTGGCTGAGGTTAATGTTTTAATGTCTACTAATAACATCCATTCTGCATCCCATGGATCAAGAAGTATTTTTAACTTGCTAGTCTTTCATTTAAGTAACATATTTCACAAAGCTATCAATGCCATAGACTGATTTCTCTACTGGATCTAGGCAAAGTAAACCGAAAACCTTCTGGAAAAGAGTCACCATTCTAGGTACCATTAAGAGCAGGATGATTCACGGGAAGAGGTCAAAATATTAATATTAACAGGAGTTTGGAAGACAGTGATTCCAACCCTCTTGGATGAATCTGAGGGGTTCGAGACTTCGGAGGAGGAAGTAACTGTAGATATGGTAGAAACATCAAGAGAACTGGAAAGTAGAGCCCGAAGATGTGACAATTGCTGCAATTTCATGATCAAACTTTTATGGATGAGGAGATGCTTCTTATGGATGAGCAAAAAAAGTGTTGTTTTTTTTTTTTTTTTTTTTCTGAGATGAAATCTAATCCTGGTGAAGATGCTATGAACACTGTTGAAATGACATCAATGATTTAGAAAACTACAAAAACTTACTTAAGTTTATATAAACTTACTTGAGCAGCAGCAGGGTTTGAGAGGATCGATTCTAATTTTGAAAGAAATTCTGCTATGAGTAAAATGCTATCCAACAGCACTGCATGCTACAGAGAAATCTTTCTTGAAAATAAGTATCAGCTAATGCAACAAACTTCATTGTTGTCTTATTTTAAGAAACTGCCACAGCCACCCTACCCTTTAGCAATCACCAACCTGATCAGTCAACAGCCATCAATCGTCGATCAACATGGAGGCAAGATCCTCCACCAGCAAAAAGATTATGATTCGCAGAAGGCTCAGATGCTTGTTAGTATTTTTTAGCCACAAGATATGTATTTTCTTTTCTTTTTTTTTTTTTTT